TCCGTGTCCGTTTCCACTGTGCGGGCGCTGATGGGCTCCATCAAGAGGAAGGTTCGAGATTTCGTTCGAACTGGAGAAATGTAACCATCTAATGCTGTAACTTTGAAGTTTTACTAAAAGAACTGTAAAGCAACTGTTGAGATAGTCGAAGAAATAGTTCGGACAATCCGATAGCGAAACTCGAATTTTGGTGGAGTTTGTTTTGTCTTGCGTAGAACGCCGCCACCGGGACATACTTTCGACCGGTTGGAACCATGATGCTAAACCTGCTGGCGTAGTCGAAGCTTCTAGATGGGGGGAAGCGGTTGAAATTGTCACTAGCAAGGGATGAGCCTGCTTGGGAATAGTTTCAGTCCTGGACGGCACACCAGCGGGGATTGGTTTACACACGATGCCGATACCTGCCAACGGAGTGGTTTCCCTTTGTAACCACTCTTTAAGGTGTATTCAGATCTAAGCGTACATTAGCGGAGCGGAGCAAAATTTGCGTTGGTATGAGAGAGACAACTAGTACTTTTCTCCCTCTCGTACCTTCGCAAAATCTCTCTCCGCGCGTGAAATATCGCTTAGATCTGAATACACCTTTAACCTTCTGCGTGCTCGATATTGTCCGCCGGCTTCGCACATTCTCGTCTAGCTGATCCCGACGTGCCTTTTCCTCCACCGCTTTCTCTTGTATGGATTTTTCCTCCTCCACCCGGCGAATATTGAGTAAAATCCTGGCATGTACCGTAGTGCTCGTCGATCGTCTCGAGTGTGATCGAGGCGGTGCTGGTTCTTCGTCGATGCATCGTATGCACTCCAGAAGAGTTCCACCGAAGGTGTTTTTCTCCCTTGTACAAGATGCATGAACGTGAGGCAAACATGTTTGGCATTGCACCATCTTGTCCTCAAGCTCGATGAATCCTCCACACGAGCACGTTTATCTGGCCACCGCCATCGCGATAGACTGCAATTGCGCTTTGATGGCTGAATCCACTCCGTTGATACGGATAAAAATCTTGAAGAATTTGTTGATATAGTCGAAGAAATAGTTTGGATAATCCGATAGCGGAACTCGAATTTTGGTGGAGTTTGCTGCAAGTTGAAAAGGTTTTATCATTAAGTTTAACAATCATTCATGGTAGCACATAAGCATCTAGTTTTAATATTGAATAGTGTAATTATCAACCAGAACTTACATTTCTAGTCCCTATTTGTGTTTTTAACTATCCGAAAATTCAAGAATTCCGTGTACAGAGACTACCTAGATTTCACATTTAACTAGAGTAAGATATATCGTAATGCGTTGTGTACTGTGTATGGTAGTTTATAGTCTATTGAATGTTTCGTGTACACTCAAAAATATTGAAATCTAAATAGTATAAAAGTTACGCTAAATCACAACTCTCCGTACCGACGCAAAGGTCTGTATAAAGGGAGAGAATGCAAACTTATGTCGTTTTCGTTTTTGCGGTGTAGCTACACCGGTGCTACACTGCCGTACACCGAAATATTTTAGGGTGTAGATATAGGATGCACCTTTGTTTACAAACAAATGATGTTGAGCTGTCAAAGACTCGCGCTTATTCCCGCTTACACTACACCAGTACTACACCGTAAAAGCGAAAACGACATTAGTATAAAAATGGTTTATGCGTTCCATAGTATAAAATCGAAATATACTTACAATGCATAGATACAGTTTATTCGAGAAAATGTATTTTTCACTTCTTTATTTTATTTATGATATACCTATATTATTGTTTTCAAATAAAAATTAAAATTGTCTAAGGAAGGTTTTTTAATTAATTTATTTTTTATGAATATTATTTCAAAAATACTTACAATTTCGATGGTTACTAGAATGAACTCATGCTCACTCAGTCTAGCTGCCGAGCAGATCACAGGCGCAGTAGAAATCCGCCGGGACGAAGCTCTTCACCAGCACGAAGCTCCGAAGAGAATCCAGATGTTCTTTTTCCCATCATTTTAGTAAACACTGATCGAATTCCACTCCGTTATTCGGACTTAGTATAATTTTGACGAAAATTTTAATCGAACCAATGGATAAATTTTGAAAAACAATAAAATGCATAAAATTTAATCTATATTCGTTTTGTAATATTTTTGAGTGTATTGTTCTTTGTTTTCAACGACGTAAGCTTGGTAGGCTGCACCCCGTCATCAAAACTACGGCTGTTCAGTTGCCACCGTCCTGAACAGCAACCATTAAAGGACTTTTTAACTTATTGAATTACGAATTACAGGTCATTTTGTGCATACCAATTTACTTTTAGTCAGCCTTTAAGCTTAACTTTATATTTTTTTATTAGAGGGTCCATCGATTGCAGTGAAATTTTTAAAGCAACATATTTAAGGAATCTGTTAAAATCTGGAGTGCGTGAAAATGCATGATAATCTCAAGCGTGAGATTTTTGTTTGTCAAATTCGCACGCGAGTTTATTCTCTCAGGAGGAATCGATGATTGAGATTTGAGATTGATTTTCCCAACACTGAACATTTCAATCAGCCTTTTTCAAAAGTGTCCATGGAATGTTTCCAGATGTTCTTTTGTATTCTCATTAGAAGTTTCTAGAAATCTTCCTCCTAGGCCTTATCAGGTTGAGATTCCCTTGGATTTTTTTTATCAATATTCATTTGAATCACTTTGGATTTTTTTCAGTATTCCCTTAGAACTCTTATCAGAACTTTTTTCTTCTCGATTCTCAGAATTATGTTCAGAACTCTTACTAAATTATTCCAAATTCCTCACAAATTTTCCATCAAATGTCGTGTCTTGAATTCCGTTCGAATTTTTCCAAAATTCTATTACAAATAATTTGTATTCCTGTCCCAATGCTCCCATGACGCTACCCTCAGATGTTGTGAGTTTGAACTTCCATGGAATTCAGCTCAAAGCTACTGCTGATTAAACTCTCCGTGGCGGTTCCGAGAATATTAAATTCTCCTTAGAATTTCTTTGGAATCGAATCAACTTCAGATGCAGATTCCATTCGAATTCTCATTACAATTGTTTTGAAATTGATGGCAGAATTCCTTAAAAGTTTTTGACAGCATTGCATTGGGACCCATGTCAGAATTTACTTAGAGTTGCGTAGCTTTGGAAAATTTTGTGAATTATCCTCTGTATTTTTAATTGTGGAACTGTTCGGTCAAAGTTTAAAAATCTGTGGACAATTAAAAAATGAGACAATTTATTCTGACTTAGTTCTGTTAACTCCATTTAATGATAGAAAATAAAAATAAATTCGATTTCATTCAGAACAGGGGATTGTGACGCACCATACATACTTGACCCACTTTATTATACATATATTAGTTATACATATTGAAATTCCAAATTGTGATTTTTTAGCGATCTATAATGACAATCGTTTTTAACAGTTGATTCAATGACAATTTTGGTAGAAAATCGAATCAAAGTTTTACTGCGAAAAAAATGTAAGAGAAAAAGCTCAAATGTGGTCTATGGGTATTAAAGCTAAAGTGCTGTTCAGACTGAGCAATTATAACATGTTTATTGTTTATTGTTTAGTAAATCATCTGACAAACAGTCTTAATGAATATCTAAATTATGTTCAATCTTCTTACTCTGTTTACAAATTGTTGCGTTGACATACCAAAATTGAACGCGGATTCAACCGATGCAAACAAACGAACCATTGCAGATATAGGCTGGTTATTACCATACAGAGAACGATGAAATCCCGGCTGCATCAGGGACCGCTGACGTAATATCCTACCTGAAGAATGGAAGTCAAGGAGCGATAAAAGATAGGAGCAATCGACGTCACCGTTGAGTAATTTAACGACAAACGTAGCTTGTTGTAATTTTCGTCTTCGATCAAGCAGACGGGATTCAGTGGGATACGCTGGAAGGTTAGACGGATCACGCCATGGTAGATTCCTGAGAACAAGCCGTATGAACCTTTTTTGGACTCGCTCGATTCATAGGTTCCATGTAACGTCGTTTGGAGCCCATACGAGTAAAGTGTTTTCTAGAATCGGTCGCACGATGGAGCAATATAGCGCTTTTAGACAGTATGGATCCGTGAAGTCCTTGGCAATTTTATAGATAAAGCCAAGTTGATGGTTTGCCTTGGAAATAATCAATGCGTAATGGGAATGGAACACCAAGATCGGTCACATGGTCCACCCTATCAAGCACAGTATCATCGATGTGGTATTCATAAATTATCGGGTCTTTGGAACGATGGAAGGTCATCACTTGGCATTTTGCGATGCTTAATCAAGCGACACCAATCAACAAACATGTTGAGCAACATTTGGAGGGGAAGACAATCCTCGATGCAGCGTACCACCACATATATCTTTAGATCATCAGCATATATGAGCTTGCATCTATAACTCTGTAGTCTGAACGTACTATAAGACATAGATAGCAATAATTGACTCTTTTATGTTATTGGGGAATAAGGAAAAACATAAGTGAATAAAAATAAACATTTGAAAAAGGTTAACTTCTTAATGATATGATAAATACTACAATTACACTCAGTAACACAAAGGTCACCGTCGCCGTATGCTTTGTGATTTTCGTTTTTCGTTCCCATTGCCGTCGTCAAACTCAAGTAAAAGTTTCTCTAATTATACGAGACCTATCATAAAGTGGCCATCTACTGGCTCGGCAAAAGGTCGCATTGCTCTACTTAGAGAAAATCATCTACATACACGCCACTACTCCGTCCGTACGTCGAGGGACATCAAAATGCATTACGTGCCACCAAGTGACTCTCTAAAGGAAAAAAAAAATTGAAACACGTACTCCAACGCGAGATTCAAAACAAACAAGCAAACCGACTACGACTAGCTAATGAACTGCTACCTAGAACTAAAGGTGAGAAAGGTGAAACGATTCAAACATGTACATGTACTCATTCTCTAGTGGTCCAAAGAAGAGGGAAAGGGCAAGACATCTTTCCGGCAGGCCGAAAACGAACGAAAAGCAATATATTCTATCACTAGTTCTACATTACCGTTGTTGTTATTATTGTTATGATTCTGACCGGCGTGTTTATGGCCCGCAGTCGTCCCATCGGCATGATTACCGTGCCCATGGTTGGGTCCGGTGCTGATGACGGCTCCCTTGCCACCACCGCCAACCACACCGAGCGAAGGCATCGGAGGCATCGCCTTCTGATGGTTATTGTTGTCGGTCTGGATGGCGGACAACGGAATGGCCAGGCAATTGTTTCCCGGCGCCTGGAGGCAATCCTGTTCGGATTTCGGCAACGGCGAGTAGGCAATGATCGAACCACGGCCCGACGATGGACTGATACGGTTGTACCGGCCACCAGCCGCTAGCTTGTCACTCATCTTCTCCGGTTGTCGTTGAAGCTCAACACCAAGCGACAGAGACCACCTCAAAAATTGATTCCAATTGTGGTCGAATCGCGCCGACAGTGATGACCCTTCGTTCTCTAGTTTCAACTCATCCGGTGCCAGCAGAACCGGAAGCAGCTATTTGCATTCTTCTCTCACTCGGTGGGTGTGATTGCCGTTCTCTTCCTGTTTGTTGGATTTCCCGGGCAAACGTAGAAGTCGTATCATGCATGTGAAGGGTCGTAAAAGGTCACCAACAAACACACCGCGTGAGAGAAAAGGCCGTCGATTATGAAATCACATCCATTGGCATTTTCTTCCTTTTCTTCTTGGTTGGCTCTTACACTTTCACGATCACTTCTCGTACAGCACTTCCCATCGAAATGCTACACTTTTAGGGGTTGTTTATTTTATATTTCAACATTTGAGACAGCTCACGCCGCGGAGACAATTAAAAGACAATTTTCACTGCCACCACTCGTGCTCTGGGATGTGGGATTAGCGTGGATGAGTGTCAAGTGTGAAAGAAGGCAATTAGCACGTATAGCAACGACCACACGAGGAACGCGTTACAGAACAAGAACAGAGCACTACCAGACGTTTCAAGTATTTTAAGATTCATTTGTAAAGCGGAGAAGCGTAGCGACGGGCAAGCGTCTAAGAGAATATTTCTTTTGATGCTTCTTTCGGAAGTTTCTTTTAGGCGCTTGCCCGTCCCTACGCTCATCTAACTAAAAAAAAAAACAGTTAAGGGTTGTGTCCGAAGCACGACCGCATTATTTACGTAGGACTATGAAATTGTATTTGATGCTCAATTAAATAACAATTACAAAATAAATTATTCATAAGTATTGTTCCAAAATCATCAAAGATTCAATTCAATATTCAAAGTTGTTATCCCATTGAAAATTAGGTTCAAGTTATGTACATTGTACACTCATCTATCAGTAACTGAATAATGTTAATTTTACAACAACAACAAAACTGGGGTAGCAATTCGCTAATTAAAATACATTTCATGTAACAACCACTTCAAAGTGAGCCTGACACCAAATAACGTTTTAATATTGCAAAATCACCATAAACTGAATCTCATTTGAATTTGTCTTTTATCTGTGTTCAAATACAAAGTTATAAAATAGCGAACGCTGTAATTGAATAAATTTCAATACAAGCAGTCTCAGTAACCATGTTTTGTTGTGCTCCTTCCCCACTTGTCAAACAACAATATCATCTAACCGCGTTTCATACCGGAACATCATCCTCAAATAACGAAATTGTTCGTCCTTCGAAATGTAGTTATTACCTATTATTATTCTAATCGCTTAATTGTTCCATACCGATTTCATATTAAAAATATTCCTTCTAGCAGTGTTGGAAAAATATCAAAAAATCAAATATCACCAATGCCCAAAATCACGCTTGATTTTCGTATACAAATATCAACAAGCATAAAGCTGCGGTTGATTTTGCAAGCTATGATATCGCAGCGCGGAATATCAAAACTAACAAAACTTACCAGCTGCAAATCTCAACAAACTGTGGTGAGATTGAGTTTAATGATTTTTGCTTTACACCCGAATGCAACCTAAACTTCCATAACGGCTTGTAGCAGTCCCTTCGCGTCTGCCATCAGTGAAGATTAAAAAGAGATAGCAAACTATGCTTTCTCTTTCTAAGAAAACGATGTGCCATGGAATGATTTTTGTAACAAGTCAACTCTCCGCTTGATTTTTACACGTGGTGAATAGTCTCGCAATATCAAAGGAGCTTGTAAAATCAATATCGACCATGATATTTTGTTCCAATATCACGCGTGATATTAAGAGCGTGTGAGAGTGGAAAAATATAATTTGATTGATGATTTTGCCAACACTGCCTTCTAGTCACACATTTATGAATATTTACTGGAAGACATTTGGTTTGCTTGGCCCTCTCCTGAAATAACCATGGCTCTCAAAATATTCCAATGATTTGTACTGGGGCAGTAATGAAATTCAATGCAGAAATTTTGTAGATTCAGGGTTACAGATTATGTTCATTATATTTTTATTATTGCAACTGGACGTTTTACAGTATACATTACAGAAATTGTATTAAACAAACCATGTTGTTGATATTTGCAAAATGTAGGGATTGGCAGGGGGTTTAATGAAAACAAGCCTCTCCTTGGTGAAATACTTGTCTCAACTAATGGTGACATGGAGTCGCAGGTTTTGGGTTGAAGAGTTCGGCGATGTTTATTCGACATCCCTAAATCGCTAAGGAATCCATTTATTGGTTCGACAAAGTGCGGCCTTGTCGCAAACGACCGACATAGTCAGTTTCCTGCACTTGAACATCGGAACCAGTTCCACATACCAACGAAACTGCCATACCAGGCCACCACAAAACTGCCATCTCACTACACAGGCACTCGTACTGTACGATGGTCGTTCCACTATCTTGATGATAGGATAGGCACAGTATCATCCGCCTTCATCGGAATCGGGTCCGGAACTTCATCACAAGCGCTCGTTGGATTGCAGTCGATGTTTACTCAAACTGATGACAGATGATGTATATTCAAACTATTTTCACTTGTTGACATAGGACTACTTTGATTAATCTTGAGTAATTATGAGTAACTCAAATTTACTCGATGCAAAAATATTAACTCGGAGTACAGCTGGCTTGCCCCTAGCTCTGAGCCGTGGACCAGCTAATATATCAAAAATCACCATTTTCCAAGGGGTAAGTCACTCAGCACATTATGCCGAAATTAGATTCGCCACAGCTTGGGCACATCCATCGACATACCTTCGACACAATCTCGTAGGCATTGGATTGTTGAAAATAAAATGGGAGCACTGCTGAACAACTGTCATAAGGTGATCCAAGCGACGTTTCTCAGTGGAACTGACAGCTAGAAATCAAGAGTGTGTGAGTGATCTGGTGTTGAATGTGTAGTAGTAGAAATTCATATTAATATTCAAATTCATTCACTGTCAGTTCTACTGTGATCTGTCAAAAGTTCTTGGTAAACAAATAAGTCAGCTGATCGCAACTGTCTCGTGGACAGCCTTATTGAAGTTGTTCACAACATTACGTGCTGTTTGGCTGTATATTCAGGAACATCCTCTAATTGAATAAACCAGAGGAACTCAGACCAGCAGTTCACTTATAGATCTAAATACAAAATGTAGGTTCTAGAGTGGGCTCAAGAGAAAGAGACAGTTAATCAAACCCCATTAGTACCCTTAATTCAAATAATGCACAAAACAAACTAAAGAAGTCTATTCATCATCCTCTATAATCGTTCTCCAACAATGCTCCCCACTGGTTCCAACTTCTTCCGGCCGCTGCTTGACCGATGCATTTCACATCACGAAAAGCTAGGTTTCGGGTCTGCCTTTGAGGGCATTATAAAACACTAAAACACAGGACGTTTATTACCCTATAAACACAAAACACCAAAATTTCGAACACCCGCCACTTCCCGCGTCATCCTCAATTCGATTTATCCTTGCGATTTCAAACCAAAACATTCAAGGGGTGAGAAATACCAGGTTGCCGGGATGGGTATTTTACAAACAATCGCAGGCACACTGACAAAAAAGATGACCCAAGATTGGTGTGCGGAGTGAACTACCCCTTGCCATTTTTCTACATTTCATATAGCATCAGAACCACGGGGGTAACAATCACGAATTTCGGCGGAGCTCACATCAATGTGATGAATCTAGTGGGTGAGGATGACTGCAACAGACTGCTCTTTCTAGCATTGAGCACTACGATGCAAGTTTGAAAGAGTAAGCGGTTTTGTTCTGTCGTACCTCCGTCAGTTTTACCGCTGTCAGTATGCCCAAAGTGTCAGATTGTCAAAAAATGTCAAAGTCATGTGAGCTATGGTGCATCTATATGTGGTTTACAAGGATAGGGTCCCCCTGATCAGAACAAATCAAGGCCTTCTTTGATCTAATTTACACAGCAATCAATTTTACGGATGTTCCGGATCTTCCGGACGGTCACCTGGTGACCACTCGGAGCCATCGACGAGTTAATCAAAAATAACAATAATTTGTCAACATTTCATATAGTGGCTGAGAAAAATCAAGGCATATGTTGATCAAATTGACGCGACAGTCAATTTTACGTAAGTCCAAGATCTTCCGGCGGGCCATCTAGTGGCCTCTTAGAACTATAGTCGCTATATTCAAAGTCTGGCGGATAAAATGTCGGGAACCAATTGAGCTGACAAATAGCGGAACCAATCGAGCAAACCACGACCAACGGCAGAAAAGACCACATCAGCTATTTCGAACAAAACTTCGGAAACCGTTTTCTCGTGACTCAAAGCTCGTCTACGCTAACTAACACCATCTTTGGGTTGGGAAAGTTTCCCCTATCCGATGATGCTGGTAATTTGTGTTCGATTGGCAACGTTTTGTTTATAAAAGTTGATAGTACCTTTTCAATTGTTCGTCTACAATATATTTAATTGGTTCCGATTTTTGATAGATCGAAATTCTATCCGCCAGACTATAAATATAGCGACTATACTTAGAACCAATGACTAGCTAATATTCAAAATTCTCCATTTTACTACATACCATGTAATATCCAAGGTAATCCAAGGTCAGAACAAACCAAGGCCTACTTTGATCAAATTTACACAGCAATTAACTTTAATTATGTTTCGAATCATCCAGCGAGCCATCTGGTGACCACTTAAAGCCAGTGACTACGTAACTTTACATCAACGTTTGTGTGATAAAGTTTTAACCTCATGTATTATGGTTTTTTGAAAGTGAACCTTACAAATAATGTTTTTTTTAAGAACCATTACCATTCAAAATTCTTCTTGTCTCCATACATTTTCGAAAGAGAACTATATTAGAACCTTTTTACTTATGGTTTGAGAACTTTAATGGTAATGATTATGGCAGTCAGTAAGGTCCATAAATGGTTTTGTAACATCGATCAACTTTATGTGGAATATATCGCGAATAGGTTGCCTGTAAATTAATGATTACTAATTTGTGAAGTTGACCGACAATACAAAACCACCCATGAACCTTACTGACTACCATAACCATTACCATTAGAATTCTCAAACCATAAGTAAAAAGGTTCTAATTTAGTTTTCTTTCCGAAAATGTATGAATTTTGAATGGTAATTCCAAAAAAAACCATGCATACATAAGGTTAAAACTTTATAACACAAACGATCATGAGTTTAGCAGGGATTATAAACAATTTTTAACCATTTTTGGTAAGGTCAAGATATGGTTCGCGTTTATCCGGGTAGCTAATATATCAAAAATCACCATCTTATTGCATTCCATACAGTTGCAAAAAAAAATCAAGGCCTACTTTGACTAAAAATACATAATAGTAAAGATTACGGCTGTTCCGGGTCACCAAATGGCCTTTCGGTGGACACTAAGTATTTAGAACCGAATTGTGCGTTGGTTTTGTTAAAATGTGTATGAGCACTACCCAC